CAACTTTCAAAGTGCACTTCACCTGCTGTGGCCTCCGTCTGAAACTCTCTGAAAGCTATTGAAGCCAATAAACTTTTACAGCCTTTCTCACCGTTTGGTCTCCCTGAGCTTCAACAGTCCTTTATACCCACGTACTTCACATCAATGCTACTTTTGGTTGTTTTTTTTTTTGTCTTCTCTTTACCATATCTCTCTCCCTCCCCTTTTTTTTCTTCATCCTCCATGTCCTTTCAGCCTCCACATCTCTTACTTCTGCTCCACCTTTCATCATCTTTAGAAAACCCCCTCACAATTCCCCTTCCTGTGTAGTAAACCTCCTTTTCCTCTCAGAAACAGGATGACTTTTTTTTTACCCTTTATCAAACTTACATACAGAATTGACACTGCACAGGCCGGAGAGTGAAAGGAAGAAGAAAGGGAAGGTGATGTGGGGATGAGAGTGAAGGTAAATACCCTTCAACTCCTGCAGCACACCTCCGGCCCCCTTTGAAGCTTGGACTTCTCTAGCTGCCGCACCTTTTGTTTCCCTTAACCCCGTTTTCCTTTAAGCGCTGTCTTTATCCATCAAGGAAAACTCTGGAAAAGGAAGGAAGCTTTGAGGTGCCTCAGTGCAAAACCAAGTCCTTGCACAAAAAAAAAAAAAAGTCCAGAGTTAAATCGGGACAAATAATACGGCCAAAACAAAGGAATGAAAATGCTGCTGGCTAAGCAGGCTGGGAGTTCAAATTCAAAGATGCCTGAAATGTGTTTTTGGTATTATAATTTGGACTTGCATTGTTACATCACTTACCGCCTTGGGATTATTTTATTTCCAGTGCTACTGTAAACAGTTTGTTCTTCAATGGCCTCCCACAACATTGTTAAAGAATAAAAAATTTGGCCATGATGAATACAGTAGGAAAAGAATGCGGCTAATGAAAGAGATGACTAATGCAGGACTCGGTTTAGCGGCAGCATCCTTTGAATGTATTATCCGGCTGTCTGCATGTCGTCAATATTTACTCAGCACTCAGAGCAAATTACTTAAGGAAGCATATAGAAAACATCTTTTGGCCTTTAAATAGGGTGATAAGTAACAATGGTGCTTAACCTTGGAAAGCATTCAAATTACATATTTGCACAACCTTATGATCTCTGTTATGAGGCATAATGCATCGTGAAGGCTTGTTGTGCCATATCGTGTATATGAGAGTTTAACCAAAGTGTCAATGTACACCTTCTTTCAATTTAAATGCCACAGAAGAGATCATGCATGCGACTGTATTCGTCAATGAACAACCGCTGGGAGTGTTGCGTCACGCACAGCGAGGATAGGCCCGTTCGACTTTAATACACCGCGCAGATCGGAAACATTACTACATAAGATCCGCTCTCTACGCGTCTCACTTTCTGTCACAAATATGCGATAGCTTAAAGAGAAAAGGTCCGCGGGGCCTTCGCCGTTTCACACTCTGATAAACACAACAGGCTTGGAGCAGCCAATTTATCGCGTGTGTCATTTTAAACACAGCCCATGGTGCAGATGGGTGAATAAAACATGGAAAGATAACTTTGACAGCAAAGAGAAAGTGGAAAGGAGATAGGAAGCGCTTGGAGATTAGAGGTAGGGAGATAATAAGAGGTTCTTTGTGCCTAAGGGCTTCATTTCGTGTATGGTTAAGGGTTTGACATCAGCTATCACTTAAAGAAAACTGTGCGTACGACGACAACATGCATGCAAAGAAACACCGAGGCCATGACACATCAGACATACCGTTTTATCCAATAAACATTCGAGATTAAAGGGAAAACACAAGAAAAAAAAAAGGGGGACGACAACAAGATGACAAGAAAAAGCACAGAGAGGAGCAGAAAAGGGAACTCTTCGGTTTCAGAGGACTCTAATTGAAATAGAAAATGCACAAAATAGGAGAAGGGATCATTTGTATCAATCAGGGTTAATCCAGCCTAATGTGTGTATTAAAGACAGCATGGGTCATCTCATTTCCAGCAGATGAATCTTTTCTTCTGGGAACGACCTTAATCAAATCCGGTCAGGGGCTATCAGCTCTAATGTGCTTCTTGTGATTTGCTAATAACCTTTGATTGAATAAAATCATTTCAAAAGTAGACCATGTAAACATCATCTCTCTCTCACACACACACACAAACAAACACAACATCTTCTTGAACACAGGCTTGTGTGTGTGTGTGTGTGTTTACATTAAGGAATCTTGTTGAGGGAGAATGTTAGAAACAAATGAGTGCTGGAAATAGAAAACAGAATTACCGCCTGGCAGTTTTATAGCTTCACAAATCAGCCAACTTGTAATTTACATCCAAGTCCGTCCGCACTCATACAATCTATATCGTAAAAATAAACTTACGGATAGAACTGACTTTGTTGAGAGGAAAAACGGATCGTATTTTCACTTCGCAACCAAAAGACCATGGTGGTATTTAAGTAAAATAAATCGTTGGTGCGGTTCCGCTCGTTGGATTTAAATATTATCCATTGTTCATTTCTAAAAGAATGTTAGAAAATTGCTTTAATTTTAATTATGACTCGAGCGCTGCTTGCGCAAATGGAAAATCGGCTTACGTTGTTTATATAGCATTTTAAAATTCTAATTTGAACGAACATTTGAATACATACATATTCAATACCGTAATAGTGTCCACTGAACAGTGTGGACTTAGAAAATGATATGTCAAAGAGCATTTTCATTTTAATATGGTCATAGAACACCCATACTGGTATGTTAGAATGAAAATGCAATTTTGATTAAATTTCCACATGTTATAGTGGATTTACATGTTCATTTTAAAGTTTGCATTACCATTTCAATTAAGCTCTTACAGACTTCCATAGGGAGGCGACTAAATCTGATTATGATAGAACATGAAAGTCGAAGCCATGATCGTCGACAAATCTTCAAACATGGGTGTTGCTGCAAAGAGGTTACAAATTCTAAGACATGGACGCACATCCTCAATCAGCCAGCACAGAATATCAGCATTTTCAAGGTGGGCACCCAAGATTAGTGTCACCAATTCAGTATCTACATTTTACCCTATTTGACATTTGTGTAAAACTTATGGCCAAGTTCTTGTGGCCAAATATGGTTTGTGAGGTCACAGCAACCTTCAATCGTCGAATTCTCATCCCTTCGTCCCTCCAAGTAGACGTTTGTGCCAGATGTAATAAAAGTCCCTGGAGACTTCCTGGGATATCATGTTCACTAGAATGGCACAGACATGAGGTCATAGTGACCTTTGACCATCAAAATCTAATCAGTTCATTCTTGAGTCCTAGTGAACGTGGTGCCAAATATAAAGAAATTCCCTCAAGCAGTTCCTGAGAAATTGCTTTCACAAGAACAGGACGGACAGACAGACATCCTGAAAGCCGTCGTCGGCACAAAAAAACATACATCACTGGTGGAGGTCATTTCAATATATTGTGTCGCAGGCAGAGGGCCAAAATGCAATTACAAAAACCATCAGTAAATAGCAGAGACAACCCGGAGCTAAATTACAAAATTAATTAATACCTCAACGATTCAGTCACACGTAATTAAACTGAATCTGGGCGTTTGTCAGACATATATGACATTTGTTCCAGTGGAAATGAAGAGGGACTGCATGGCGGGCACTGAAACATAGATGGATCCCAACAATGATAAAAGAGCATCATCCATTGTGGAAGGGCGAGGCCCTCTCACCATTTTCATGATCTGGGAGGATGTGCAAATCATAGCTGCCTGCCAAAGATACAGTCTCAGTGTTTTTATTACTAGTACAAACTGTCAAGCCAGTCGAGGAGCTGAAATGAATGCCTGGACCTGCTATCAAACAGTCTGTATTTCATCCCATCTGCATCTTACCCTAAATTTCACACTGTTGTTTTCTCACACTGAAAATGCATAGAAACATTTCTTTAAAGGACTGCAAATGGCAATCATTTTTATTTGATTAATCTGACAATTATATTCTCTATAAAATGTGAGACAGTGGTGAACTCTTGTCATGTAGAATTCCCAAACTAACTCTGAGTTGCATGATCCACTCCTCTGTTTTGTTTATTACAGATATTCTGTGTTTGATTTATATTTTTCTTTGATATTTGACATAAATTCTTATATCTAAGAAGTAAGAAATGGTAAATGTTTGATGTTCTTGCTTACAAAAGAACTAGAAGCGATCCGTATTTACAACAAGTTCCATATATGGATACACACGAATCGTTGCAGCTCTGTTCTCTTTCAATTCACGATCTGTCCTCTGCTGCTGCTCATCAGGTAAGGGACCAGTAAAAACAAACTCAGGTAGGAGGAATAAACTGTCGTTGAATGCCAAAAGGTACAACTTTACATTCTGAGAACATATCAAGTTGTCACAACATGACCTTCTCAGGTACTTTGTGTAGGAGAAAAACAAAAACAAAAAACAAAAAGAGGCTGCAACAAAGCAGCTTTTTGCACTTCAGCTATAAAAGAAATTACCAAGTCCATACAGCATTAAAAACCTGACAATACCTGCTGCCTATTCACTGGAGTTTAAAGCTCCTTTTACCTTGACAGAGCGGCCAGGTTCTAATGAAGATTACTACAAAGTGGAAAGCAGAGCGGGAGTCTATTTCAAACTTGGCAGGGAGCCAGAAGGGAGGGAGGAAGGTGAGGTTAAAGGGGACACATGCTTCACGCCAACACTGCTGTTCTGGAAGAGGGTTCGGCTGAGGATGGCACATACACCCAGCTACCCCCTCTGCCCTCTCAGGTTGGCTGCTGGGAGTGTGTAAACTCTGACCCCTGAACTGGCAGGAGTAGCGATACGGAACACACAGGCTGCACAAGCTGCAATATATACAAAGAAAACACTGAGAATATCGTCTCCTTGTTACTGAAAGACGTGCCCATGACCTCTGACACGGCAGAAACTAATAACTAACCAGACCCAGAAGTGAGACAATTAGACAACACAGAACGAAATGACCTTCGCATCAGAAAAAAGATACCCACCGGCGAGGAGGAACGTGATGAGGCAGGTTTCTTTGGGCATGTACAACTTGAGGCGCGAGCCGCTGAAGACGTATTCTACCACGGCTTCTGAGCGGCCAGCCCTCTGCAGGAAAGGAAGGAACTGCTTGGCTTTCTGTGTCTCCTAACAGATAAAGGAAAGAAATGAGAAACGACATTTAATAGGCATTTTTATTAAGTTACGTAGCTTTTATTATTACAAATGGAAAAACAATAATTCAGTAATTTGTTGATTGTGAATAAATACAATGGTTTCTGACAGCTGTAGAGCAAAGATAACCCTGCGTCGGAAGATGAGTCATTAGTTGTTATCAAAGAAAGTTTTTCTTTGACTATCTGAGCTCCAGACATTTTTCTGAGGGACTTTGTTTTCACCCCTCACAGTGGGATCATTTTTTTTGCTGCAATATAAAGTCCTGAACCTCTACGGATACAGCACAACAATGAATGGGGAACAAGTTTAATTTCTTTGATTATTGCAGAAAAAAAATTAAAAACCGGGAACACCATGTGAAGCAATTTTCCAAGTGCCCTCGGGTGTTACCAATAATGGCCACAGCTGAGTCAGTCATGGCTTCTCAGGTGCACAGAGGAGCTCAGAATTTTACTGTTTTAATTCTTTTTTTTTCACAGAATGTGGTTGAAGCAAACGGTTCTTTCGGCAATTTTTTTTTATGACACAAGTGGAATAAAGTGATTTTGATGAAATATCACAATTTTGGGCTCGGTTTTGGTTCAATTTTCTGGCAGAACACATGGTTAATTTTAAGGACTGTTGGGAAGGTGCAGATCCTTCTAGCCTTCTAGTTTTTACAGTTTCTGGCTCTGATAAATGGTGTCATTTTGCTGCTTTTTCAAAGATAACATGCCTTTCAAACCAGAGGGTTAATATTTATAATCATACGAAGTCAACTCGAGTGAATTTCGTCAGTGCTGGGAGAAAAAAAACAAAAATAACACACTGCAGCAAATGTGACAAACTCAACCTGGATACAGCAGACACAAAAATCTCCGCCAAACAGACAGCAACCAAATTAGACACGATAAATAGACCAAATAGGATTATTGACAACAGGATCTGCGTGCCTGTTTTTTTTTTTCCCCTAGACATCTTTAAATCTCGGTCTGGCCTAATGAAGTCCGCTTCACTTCTCAGTGACACGTCTGGAAGCTCATGCAATCAAAAATAATTCTCTCCCTCCCTGCCTCCCATCTCTGTCTGCAAAAGGGTGAGTCACGAGCTTATTGGTGCGCTCGGGCCAAAATTACAAGCGGAGCTAAATCATGTGTATTCAAGCAGGGCTACTGATGTAGTGGCAGGGGAAGATTCATAAACGATAAAAAATAATTTAATATGTGCCTACTCCAGGCATGAGCATGTAGGCACAACAGACCAGTGAGTCATGGGCTATTGTACTGAGTGTGTGTGTGTGTGTGTGTGTGGCAGTGTGGACATGGGAGTAGGCACAAAGGCTCGCAGGGAAGGATGGAGTTCAAACAGGGAAAGTCAGAGCGAACACATGTGTTCTCCATTTGCCGCTGTAAGTTTCCAAAAGAGTTCACAGTGGTTCAAAACCAAAATATCAATATTTCCTCTCCTTTTGTTGTTTCTTTTCTTTTCTTTTTTTTTTTTTAAAGGGACTGCTACACAAACACGCGTCACCAGAGGGGCTCGAACACACGAGTCTGCGAGTGGAGGGTATGTGCTTTAGCCACAAGATGCACCACCTGAACTCCACCCACTGAAATCCAAAATAACCCCTTGAGTGGGAGACGTCAGAAGCAAACACACTCTCTCCCCGTTCACACAAACACATTTACACCACCTGCAGTGTGTGGGCTGTGCAGTCTAACTTGGTTCAGAAAAAATAAAATAAAATAAAGGGAAGAAAAAAAAAAAAAAGGAAGAGACATGAGAAAGGAGAGGACCTCATTATGCAACCTTTAGAGGCATGAGGTGAGTCAAGTGCTTTATCCACTCTCTTCCCACCACCTCTGTGCATCTCCTACACTATACGTTTATAAACCTATCTCTGCTCTATTTGTGACTGCGGCCCACTCAATGTACATAATCCCTTTCAACAAACCTTTAGCACCGAAGGATGCTGACGTATAGGAGAGTGTATTCCCATGTGTGTGTGTGAGAGGAGGGGGGGTGTGCCTGTGCATGTGTGGGCGTGTAAAAGAAAAGAGGGGAGGAAAGGATGTTGGGGTGAGGCGGCGGTGGTGGGGGTGCGATGTTGCTATTTTTGGTCCCTTTTATTAGAAGCGCTCATTACATTAGCCTAGCCAAACAACTGGCGCATGCTCGCTACCTGGCGACAATCCTAGACGCCGCTGCAAATCACGCGTGTCTTGTTAGGAACTGACGGAAGAGAAGGGGAAGGTTAGCAGCCACGTGTAATGGCGCTGACCTGAGCCAATGACAAAATGGTGCTAATCATTAGGATTGTAAAAGGGTGCTGATGTGCAGCATAAACACAAGACAGATCCTGTAAAGGTATAAAAAGGGCCGCCGCCGCCCTTTTGCCAGCTTAATGGGACGGTTTTTGAAATGAGCAAGATGTGCAATTCTCCATTTGGAATTAGGCTGGGGCATATATATTCCTTTTTTTCCTCGCTGCTAATATAGTTAATTATTTATCGAGCACCTCCCACTGCAAGCGTTCCCAAGCCACCGCTGAGTGTGGTCAGTTAAGTTCGGCGGAGGTTTACAAGTCTGGACTGCGCTAAAACCCCCCTTGATGAAATTTCAGAGCTGCTCAGTCAGCACAACAATTCCCCGTCATAATTATTTTTACAAGGTCTGGTAATTTATCTGTCACGCTGACACAGTAAGACATGGGGAGGTTACGACGATGACAACGTGGATGAGCATTAACATCTGAGGGCAGCTATGCAGAGAATTATTAGCCAGACTCTAAAGTCCTGTTGGTGTTAAAGAGCTTTAACGTCTTGGCAGAAAGCCTCTGTTCCGATGCACTGTTACAGCACTTTAAACAGCAACTTAGAAAGCTTACACATGACCAAATCTGGTGGAAGCCCTCTGAGCTTAAAAGAAAAAAAGAGACTAATACGGAAAAAGGAGAGCCTGATTAATTTAACCAAATGTCTCTCTGTAGCCTGCAAGTGCGAGCGCTACGAGGGAGCTCAAGTGAGACAGACAATGAGGGTGCTAATGTTTTTGAAGTTCGGTTTCGAGTTATTCAAAGCAGACCATGTAGTGGCTTTTAAAAATGTGGGAGGGATGGGTAGCCGTCAAGCACTTCTATATGCATGTATATATATACACACACATGCATAAAGGCGCTGAAGACTGTTACAACTGTTGCATCGGTTTGTCAAAGCTTTGATGCGTTTCCAGTTGTTAAATGCAAAACACTGCCAAAGTAAAAAAAAATGGGGATAACATGGTGAGAAAGGCACCGAGCTGATGTAATGCCAATGAAATTTGACTTGTTTGTGGGTTGGAAGTTTGTGAGGGATTGTGTACTTGTAGCACTAGCAACTCCTACAGCTTAGTCAGGTAGACCACGTAAGTGGAGGCAGAGTCTAGGGGGAATAACAAACTTTTTGTTCTAGTGAAGCTCCTCACAGTCACATGGAGGAGAGGGAGAGAAAAAAAAAAAAAACAGCTGGAATGACTTGCTCAGAAGAAAACACACATCGCTGCGCAGGGCTCCAGAGTGACACGTGACCAGACGATTTTGTCAAGTAAACATTTTCATTGGCTGCTCCCGCCGCCCACACTTCAGGGAGTTACATCGGCAGTCGTCTGCTCTGCGGCGGATTCCTCCTACCTTTGTGGACTTTATTGGTCTTATTACATTCTGGTAAAGGCATTTACTTTTATTTGCCAACTTCACTGTTCTGGCCGTTTCCTGCTGTCACACTGTATTATCCCAGCTCGCTTGATATCAACCCGTTGTGTCCTGGCTTATGCGGGGTCAGGTCACGGCAGGCTAAGCAGGACAGTTCAGACCCTCCAGGAACGGCTTTCCGGCTCCTCCTGGGGGGATCCCAAGGCCTTCCCAGGCCAGATGAGATGTGTAATCCCTCCAGTGAGTTCAGGGTCTACCTCGGGGTCTCCTCTAAGTTGGACATGCCTGGAAAACCTCCAAAGGAGTGGGCAGCTTAATTCATAGGGTTTTTTTTTCTTTTTCACTTGTTATTGTCAGAATAAACCACCTCGAGGAGATCTTGTTATGGCGCCCTCTCCAGTTACACTTATTATTGCGACCCCTAAAGACGTGGTGGAAAATTTACAGTCCATCTAAATGTAAAATGTAACTAGTAAAACCCGTGCTTCTCATGCCACCAGCAGAGTCGACAGTAAATAGAAAATTGGCCAATAGAAGCAGAAAATAAGTTGAACATTTTTAAAAAATGAACACATCTAATCCCCAGGAAGTTATGTCAGACATCATCACATTTGATAGCACCCAGGTACAAAAGGGTGAATTGTCTACGACCTCACTGAGCGGACTCAATTTTCTTTTTCAATGGTTGGGGAGTAATACAATGAAAATCAACAGCATGTACAGAACCTACAAAGCTACAACGACCACGATACCGAGAGCATGTAATGTATGCATCAATGCAATCATGGCCATACTTGTCGTTGATTACAGTTTCCTTCGCTCTGCTTTTCATGCGAGCTTGTCTAACTGTGCCATTTAGTTGGAAAATAGTGGACGGCTACAACACTGCAGCATGTAGTCATTACTGATTGCACTTGGGTATAGAAGTGCGCTGTGACAACCTACAGTTAAGACAGATTTGCTGGCAGAAAACCAAAAGGGGAAAGAAAAAAAAAATTATAAATAAAAATACATTTTCAGGAGAGTTTCAACAATTAATACGAGAATTGCATTAAAGGAGAGCGCGGGCTGAATAGAGGAGACAAATCACAGTGATAAAAGTTTAAAAGACAGCTTCCTGGGTGGCGCAAACAAAAACACATGCTTAAAAAGAACCGTCTACCAATCACCCATTACTCGTTACTGAGAGATTTTTATGGTTTTCCCACGCTAATGTTCATTTTGTGAGCGCTCCCAATCAGGCTTCATTAGCCAAATGATGCCTCTATCAAGCCCCTGGGCACACGTAAACAAGCTAGGACCAAGCGCCGCTGATGGTTTTATTAATGCGGCTGATTATTTTTAGAGGCTACTTATAGGAGTGAGTCGAGGATTATAGATTCTTCAGAGAAATACCGGAGTGACGTATCGTTGAGAGCCACGAGGGCTGCGCGGTAAGTGATTCACAAGTATTAAATTACAATTAGAATCACTTATTAAACCCATCGTGGAAAATCTTTTATTCTCTTGTGTATACATACACGATACCTACCCCAGAGATATCAGCCACTCTGTGGATGGGAACCTCCTTCTTGCTGTGCAGCCCTTTTCCGTTCTTGATGGCCCTGCAGTCAAATCATAAAACACACACACGTCTCCAACATAGCTCAAGAGTCTCCGTAATACATGGATACAGGTTTAATAGAGCTGGCGATATTGTAGCTCTTTATGTCATTACTGTAGACACATAGCCTTTGTGAAGTAGGATGTAAATTCATTCACCAATTTCCCTTTCACAAACTGCAATCAACTGGAAGCACTTGAGGGAGGATTTTTTTTTGTTTTGTTTTGTTTTTTTTTTCCCCCACCCAGATAATCTATAGGCTTGAGATGGAAATTGGAAATTGTGGTTGAGGAGTAACATCAAAAGAGAAATTATGGTTGGGAAAGTGGAATGAGGAGAAAAGGAGAGTTAGCGAGGGGGGTTTAGCGATGAGGACTGGTGGTGGTGATATTTGCTTTATAAAGCCTTAAGGACCACATGACATGAGGATGACCCGTGGTTGCTGCTGCAAAGTGGAACCACGAGTCATTTGGATGCAGACGCAGAGCCTCGAAGGTAGCACATGCACATTTATGCAAGCATGTACATACAATATGTGCATTTAATAGCCAAGAGGAGGTTTCTTGAAGGCTGTGGGCCACTGGCCTTGTGCAGTGGGAACTAAAAATAAAACCACAGCTATAGACAGAAACCTCTCATCAACTCTAATAGGACCCCACCAGGGACAGAGAGAAAGAGAGAGGAAGAAAAGGAGAGGGGGAAGGGAGGAAAAGAAATGGGAAAAGAAGACCCAGAAGAGCAAGGCCAAAGAAGGACAAAACTGAGAACAGCTAAGGTGCAGAAACAAGGACACAATGTGTAAAGGAAGAAGGAGAGAGGAGAAAGAACAGGGCGGCTGGCCAGCGACACTGCATGAAAGAAAGAGGGAGAGAAAGAGTTAATCCTATAAAAAGAGGCTGTGGCTGCATCTGCTCTACCTATAGCAAGCAGATCTTAATCTATGGCAGAGTAATAAAGCTTGTACTAAATCTCTCCACTGCACCTCCATATAATTATATTCATAGGGCCTGTGTAAAGAGAGCCTATGATTTAGCGTCTAGCGCTTGGGAAGGTGAATTTGTGCCCAGGCATGTGAGAGGAAAAAAAAAGTGGGGGGGGGGCACCAATACATGTATGAGTAAATATTGGAGAGTAATGACATGTTTCCTCAGGAAAATGTAGCAATGGCTGTGATAGGCTGTAACTTATGACAGTGGCAAGGCTAAAATAAATTCTGAAAAAATAATAAGTTACTTCACCTGCGGATGCCGGATGCACCAGCAAATGCAAAAAGCAATTTGGGGGGGAATAAAGCCTCAAGGTCATATTTGATTCTCTTCGATTTCCCAAGAGAAAAATTTGTCAAGGTCAGGAGAGGGATTATTGTACCACGTACACATGAGCGTGTTTATTTGAAGCAAAAAAAAAAAAAAAGTGAAGTTATCAAGTCCTTTGTGAGATCCATTGTGCCAAAGAATATAGCTGTTAGAGTTCACGTAAAAGGGAGATGGGAGAGTGTGAAAGTGCTTTGTGTGGAAGAGCGAGCGTTTCCTCACCGTGCCTCTGCGGCAAGCAGCTCGTCGTAGTGGGAGGAGCGCTGGTCATCATCCTGTCTGTATTTGATGACTGTGGCAAGGCCTTTACTGACCAGAGCTTCTGCTATGTTACTGGAGAAAGAGAGAGAGAGAGAGAGAGAGAGGGAGGGATGGAGTAAAAGATTAATAAAAACAACAAGCAAAACCTTTTGGCTTCCTACAGAATTCTGAGCGAGCCAGCTCAACAAAAAAAATAAGGGCATGACAAATCCCAAAGGTGGCTTTGCTCAGGAACAAAGGTTACCTAAATGTTGACATTGCACACTTGACTAACCGCTTCCTCGCTGCGTTGCTGGTGTACAGAGGAGAGGATTATGGGAAGGAAGAGGGATGTATTGCGGTATTTAATGTAGCACTTAGTGGGTAGCCCTTGGACATCAATGTTCTCGCCGAGGTGTGGGAGAAAGAAATCAACGGACAGAAAAGAACTCTGCGGAAATTAGCCTGCGCCACTGAGCTTTGTGTCGCATGTAGCAGGTATTGTAACTGACAGTCAATGTTTTCTACACAACTAAGCGCAGAAAACAGAATACAGGAAGCATAAAGACAGCAACTTATTTTTTTTAACTTCAGTTTTTTCCCATGTGTATTACTGTACAAAGACTTTTGACACTTTAATCTCATCTCAAAGATCCAGACTGCAACCCTTTTTTTTTTTTTTTTTAAAGTGTACAAGTTAGAAGTTCACATAGTCGCAGTTGTGTGTGCGTATGAGGACCTTCCAGCCTGCATAGGCCACTGTGGTTGCACTACTTTTTCTTCCTCACTGGCTCAGTCAGCCTTTCCCTACCTGCACTATAAGGCGATGTAATTTTCGGACTCCTGAGTGCACCTGAATATAAGCCACACCCACTAACTTCAAAAAGAAATTTGTACATATATAGGCTGCACTTGTTTATAAGACGCAGGTGTACACGTAACATGAGATATTTACACAGAAAGATGCTACACAGAAAGATTTTTTTAACTTTTAAGTAAATACATACTGGTAACATACACAAATACGTAACCCAAATGCTTTTTTCTGAACAATGCCTGTAACACATCTGGTTAAAAAAAATTGTCGGAATTTCATTGAACAGCCTCAGAATTACTTCGTCACACACTTCCTCAGTCTCTCTTTCATCGTCGCTCTCAACGTCACTTTCGTCTTGAGGCAAATTCGTAAAAATCGTAGAAATCCATATATTAGCTGCATCATTGTTTAAGCTGCAGTGTTCACAGTGAGTGAAAAAAGTAGCGGCTTATAGTCCAGAAGTTACGGGAGATAAAATCTCTTGGTTTCAGCTTGGGTAATAGTGACATTACAGTGCCTTACTTGCCAGTTTTGATATTCTAATTCTGTGCTCTTCAGACTAAGAAGCAAGCGAATTTTTCAGCTGAACTGCAGGCTGTGCTTGCATAGGATAGGAGAAAAATATGGAGATAAATTAAAACGTAGTATGTAGGGTTACAATTTGAAAATCAAGATGGTTTCTTGCACCAGGGCTACCAGCGGAAAAGTCGGCCTGGAGTCCTGCATGCTCATTCTACAGCAGTGGCAGTGACCCCCGAACACTGTGTCATGACAAACTTTCTTCAGCGACAAGAAGAACAAGCAGTACTGTCACAGATGGTGAGGCTGCCTCATAGACCAGATCTCATCATCGCAGAGTCAGTCTGGGATTACATGAAAAGACAGAGGCATTGTGAGAGCACACAAATCCACATAAGAACTGTGGCAAGCTCTCCAAGATGCTTAGAACATTACACAATTTCAGCACATTAGAGCCTCACGTATTGGCAATAACACAAGCAGGCGCCAACAAAGTCTCAAGCATTCAAAACATGCTAACGAGTGCCAAGTCTTCCACCGCGGGGAGGGAAATTATTAATAATACGCCGCAACACAAAGTCGTACAAGGTCAAAACCGTCTACCCCACTGACCGCCTCGACCCCTGACCTCAGGATTCACGGGGGGCCTTGCCAACTGTTAGAGTGGCTGGTGCAGTCGGCTAACGTTGGGTGGTAATTGACTGTTGACAAGGCCGGATCCTGACCTCTGCGCAGGCCAGTAATATCAGACAGACGGTCGGTTCGATGACAAAGAGGGATCTATGTCTCCATGTGCGTGCATGACGGCGCTTTGTGCCTGAAGCGATACAGAGAAAACCAGATGATAAGTGGAGCTTTCAACTGTCGGGAGTGAGAACAGACTTCTAAAAGGTTAATTTCGAGACGCGCGTTGGCATTAAAGCTCCTCTGCTCGGGTTTTGATTAAATTTGAACCTCTGAATAGTTTAATCAGGTTTATAACTGTGATACTGCGTAAAATACATGTTTCAAAAAAAGTAAGACCCAACTCCTTCAAAGCGGTGTTTGTAGATAGAAAATAATTGCTTGCACTGAGGCGACCCTTGTCGTAAAATTAAAATACAAAGAAGCACTTTCAGGTTACTTTGTGATTCGCGATGAGATTACAAGTTCTGAGCATTTAAAAATGATTATTCTGTTTTGTCTTGCATCAGATGAACTTAACTTTGAGAATGTGGCAGACGGCTACAGTAATGAAATGTCTCTGTGAAGTCTTTTACACTGACAAATTACATGCTGTATGATCTGCTGGTAAGAAACGTCTATATGGAACTCCGACTGCAAGCGTGTACTGGAGCTAGCTGCTGAATTATATCAACAGCAAGAAAACAAACCAGAACACAAACACACTAAAGAGCAACTTCTAGGTTGAATTGTTCGCTAATTTTTTTCCTAACATTTCTTGAACTTGATTGTAAAATTAATGCACCGCTTCATGTGTCTTATGTGACATAAATGCAAAAATTCTAATGAAAAAGTCGGCATTTTGAGCAGTACTCTTAAAACCACTCTGTATTCCATCACATAAGGGAGTCGAGTTTGCCTCAGCACACTCTAACAGTAGGTGGTCGTGAGTCTGAGCAGCTGTGATTTGGAGAGTTGGTCTTTTTTTTTGCTAATTACTCTACATTTCAGTGTTTTTCATCATGGTGAGATATTGTGTTTATGCAGGGTGCACAAACAATAGCCTTCCAGGATATCGAATCCACACTTTTTCCCCCAACTATGGACCTGTGAGAAGAGAAAACGATCACGTGCGGCGCTTATTTTGGAATGGAGGATCATTTTCCTGCATGAATGACTGGCTTCTGGGTGGGATGTTTAGGTAAGAACCGTGTGAGACAGATAGATGTTTCTTTGGTGCACGCAGAAGCTTCTGGTTTCAGATTGGACGTTCAAAGTCTTCTTGTATGTTAAACTTCTCGAACGGTCAGCCCTCTCCCTCCTCTCTCATGTGGCGCCACAAAACATAGTGTCGGTTTAACTTAGACAAGCAAGATGAGACCGATACCAGCTGATCCTCCCACATGACTTTCTGTTATAGGCAACACTCCAGCGTTACAAAGCCAGTACTAGTTTTGTTCTATCCTGAAATGCGATGGGAAACTTTACGGCACCAACGTTTGCCAGCGTTATCAAATGTTGGTGATTCACCGAGACACCTGCTCCCTTTTCCACCGGTTGTCACTGATGGCTGGTATTTCTTCCAATCTTTGTCCGTTCCTGGTCTCTCAGACACCCGGTAGGCTCATAATTATAAACCTGTGGCCCCCCATTAGCATATAAATATACAGTTTTTAACCTCTTCGGTGTCACAGGGGGTGGGTAGCGCTTGTGTTTCTAATTCGGATTTTTCGTGGTGCAGGTGGTTTCGATGACTAAAACAGTAAAATCCTGCGTTTGCATTAATCCATGAGTAATAATAATCTAATGATATATCACACTGTACTGCAGTATAACAGAGACGACATATTTTTCTTTTGAAACCATTGTACATTTTCCAGACTTTTATCTTAAGTAACATTTGCAATGCAGGACTTTGACAGAGTGGTATTCGTTTACCTCTACCACTGCCCATCTCTATCTAATAAGGTAAACATTTAGTAATTATATGAATTATTACATTTACGATATTGTCTTAGCAGAGATTAGCACACCCACAGCCAAACTGTGCATCCCCTTTAAGGACGGTGGTGCCGTGGGCTGGTGGGTTTGTTGTGAACACTTTCACTCAGCTCGTGAGGGAAGCGCCAGAACGCAGGAAAGTGTTGCTACGATGAAAAAAAAAGTTGCTTTATTCTGCAGTAACAAGTTTAGATAAGCAGAATAGTTTCAGTCCGTGTGTTGTGTTTGCTGTCACAAGAGAGTCTCTTCTTACGTTGTCGTGCGTTCTTCAGAGCAAAGCTGGGTGAACTTTTGAGAAGATAAGTGTTAGCAGAAGAGAAAAAAGAGCTACATCATGTAACTGTAAGCGTAGAAACGGCGCTCTCTTTTCTGGTTTTGTGTTTGCTTACTTTATTGTAACGAAAGCAAAGTCAATTCCTGTCCACGTAAAACATTTTGTTGCTTAATTAAGGTGAGGCAAGATGATCACACAATTTTGTATTCCCCTGCTAATCAAGCAACTACTAAAGTATGTCCACTGAGAAAAATGCTAGACAAATGTATGAGGAGATGAGAAGACGGCAGTATATACACAGTAGGTATTTGCAGTGCACTGCTTATAAATAGCCAAAATAAAATGAATCATTTCCAATGAATCATTAAAAATCGCAACTTTGGAACTACTTCTAAGTCTGACCTAGCTCCGATGATCAACCCTCCCGTCAAAACTACTGCTATGATCCATATTTCTTACTGTTGAACTGGACCTAGCCTCACTTTTTGATTTCATAACCAAGTTGTCTTTTTCCAGGCAAACAGAAAACTGTAAAAACTACTCTACATATTATTGTAGTGTATATACAGGCTTTCATTTTTCCCTACACTGATGAGGATAATGAAACTCCAAGCTGCTCCTCCAGTAAACCCCTCAGCGTGGCGTGACGTGGTCCACTACTTACATGCCGCCAATTGTGACTGTAGCACAGGTGCGCTCTGCGAAGGCGGGCGTTCCTTCTCCTGGACCGGTCGCTGCTCTGATGTAGTCCACTGTCACATTGACCTAAAGGGGAACATAAGCCAGAGGTCAAACAAAACAAAAAAAAACACACACACACACCAAGAGTAGCGAGCCTAAGCGAACATCAGTTACGGTAATAATTAGTGCTGAAAGTGTTCTGGCTTGTGTGTGTATGTGGGTCTTTTGGTTTGTCCCACTTCTCAAGGTCACCCCGAGTCAGTGCGAATCACGTCAGGCGGCACTGTAGATCTCCCCAGAGGAGGAGTATTAACACACGGTGGGTGTTTGGGACAACACACACACACAAACACACACACACACACACACACACACACAGAGTGAACAGTGATAGAACCCAAATGACCCTACACTGTGTGTTCTCAGCACAGCTCCCCAGGGATGGACTCCAATCCACCCACCCCGAAGAAACAATTTTGTCACTCAGCTGTGTGCGTGTGCATACATCCCCAGGCATGTGACAGGGAAAGCCTGCTTTGTGGGCCAGACACAGGCAGACAGCGCTAACAGCAGGGACGCAGCCATACCGGTGCACACAATCGGCAGTTTAAGAGCTACGTGTCAGACAAGTGTGATGGGAGAAGGGGGCAAAAATGTAAAAAAAAAATGTGGGAATCTGGCTCTTCATCATAAGGCAGACAGAGACGATGCAGACAGGCCTATTACAGAGACATGAACGATCGACGCCGGCCTGTCATTAGACGGACAGGATGAGGACATGATGACACGGACAGGAAAACGAGAAGAACCTCTGTCATAGCAGAATGCCGCGTCATAGAGTATTGTTCAGCAGAAAATAGTATGTGCAGTTTCAGAGGAGGAGAAAAATAAAAAAAAAGAGACACCAGGAGAGGGATTATGTTTTTTGGAGGTAGATGTGCTGCTGAATGGGGAAAAAAAAAAGTAAGACCATTTCTGAGACAATTTGGAGCAAAGAAATGACTGGCACAGGTGGGTTACAAATGAAAAAAGAAAGTTTTTCAGGGCCTTATTGATTTAAAAAATATGATTTAGGTGTGGGGGATTATCTGGAAAAAGAAAGAAATCAAAACTTAGTAGAAATAGTTCATCTCCACTTCATAAATTTCATCTAATTTCTATGAGACAACCTTGTCATCCAGCTATCAGTTAAAAAATAAACACCCCTCTTTGACTAGAATGTCCATTAATTGCACCCATATCCTGATTAACCCTCGTATTACGTTTTGCTTTGTGATTACTCTCAATTGTAGATCATTTTGCAAAAATCCCCGTCTTAAAAACACTGTCAATCTTCCTCAGTCTTGCAACCATTCTTCCAGGCCATTATCCTCTCTCCATCATGGAAGCTCTTCATTTTCTTAAAGCCCAAACATGACAGATTGTAATGTCTATTCAGCCTTATTGAAAAGTGGAGCCATTTAAATCGTGCGGGTAAGTGAAGAATGGAAGACAAACAAATCATTGTAAAAAAAAAAAGGAAGTATCGACGTTAGCTGGCGAGGGGAAAATGAGACGAAATGACACGAGGATGAGCGAGGCAAAAAGAGGAGGTCTGAGGGGGAGATTTAATCACGCTAGCAAAATGTAACGATGGATGCTATAAGCTATGTATCCTGAATGCCAGTAGTTAGCCATTAAGCGAGGTGATGACAGATTATAAACTTTGACCATGCAATGTTAGATTAGAGGAGTTCCAGGCCTATTCTCCACGGGCCATCTAACAGATCCCCTGATAAGGCAAAGCCATCCATAAGAACCCCCCCAGAGCAGAGTGAAACAGAGGGGGAGAGACAGCGGATGGATTAGAAAGTGTGGGAGTGATAAGGACAGTAGAAGTGTGAGACGAAATGTGTTTGTTCTGCTGAAGCGACATTTGGTTAACTCTGCCAAAGGACTCATGTTTGGAACATGTTTGTGTGTGAGTGAGGGCCAGAAGAAAGTAATGAATATACACATATGTTGGCATGAATTCCATTTCATTCATTCATTCTTTATTTCGAGCATATTAAAAGAAAAGAAACTAACAATATATATAAATAAAAAACAACATTAAATCATAAGACTTCATGTGAGTGACAGACAAAATACATAATATATACATGTTGTGTGCACATATGTGTCATTCACCAGGGATTTCACCACTTTCTGGAATGGTTGATTCACTTAATATCGCATAAATACAGAAAACATGTTCTGAGCAAAGCTTGCACTGAAAAATGCCAGCGAATTAGAAAGGTTTACTTGTACAAATACAAAATATACAAACAAATGTGTGTTGTCTAGGAAATGATGTGATCTAAATTGTATTAAAATGACCCCAAAATGTGCACACACAAATTCTACAACAGCCTTTCTAGCTCCACAGCTAGCTCCGGTGCAAAACTTTAACAAAATTCTGATCCCTAATATGTACCTTACATTATAAACTAAGGTCAACTTGTGCATTAGATAATAGATGTGATCGTGCTGCTAAACCAGAAAGCAATGCATTATATGAGCTTATTAATTAGCCAGCTAGAATAGGGTTTGCTAACATATTAAAACCATTTTGTCTTATTTCCCAGATTGTGAACACAACATAGCGATGTGTCTCCTCCTTTATCTTGGACATTATGCAGTTTGGGTCGATGTAAATTCAGCTACTGCACAAGGGGTCCTTGAACTACACATCTGTGACGTGCACATTTAACCAAACCATCAAAATGACTTTATTCTACATGTGTCAATTTGAAATGTGCCTTAAAATAAACTGCTCGCTCTAACCAGGTTCTTTAAAAAGACTACAAACTCTGCATTTCTCGGCACAAGTGTGAAGCCAGCTATGGCAAACAGTCATGTCACAGAGTGGAATAAAAATCACTTTTCTGCTGAACTGACCTGAACTGCAGGGCTGTGTTAAAAACATAAGCAGTAAAATATGTGTAGTATGTAGAGTCACCACTTGGAAAATGTTGTACATGCCAATTCCATTTGTTTTTTTTTGCTTGTATTTATGGCATCACATTTTTCAGATCTCTACTTCCATTCGTGGTTTCGCCGTTTCAATAGAGGTGCATGACTTTATAATGCAGTGAACAATTAGAGCGTAAATGTGAGTTACAATATACAGCCAGTACCTGTTGAAGTTCAGAGGGTTAAAACAGCACAGTGACAACACCATGACTCCGGCTGTATGCTTGGGCTAGTTTGCAGAATGAACTACATCCCTCCCTGATGGAATCGCAGGACAGACAGAAACAAACCCAACGCTTCCCAAAATGAGTTTCATTTGAGGCGGTATTAATCGACTTATGCCGAGATATGATGAGGAAACGGTACATGTGCCGTGTCGTGAGCAACAGTAATCGCAGCCCGGCATGGGCTCAGCGTGAGTGGTTTTCCAGACAGTGACGGGCTGCTTATCCCGATAAAAGTGTGGAAGGTTTAGGTCTGCGACTGTCTCCTGCACCTTCCCATCTCACCGAGCTCCCACAGCTCGTTGCAATATTTAAACTGATTCTGCCAACAAATAAACATTTAAAAAATTTAAAAAATCTGCCGCAGACCCATTTGTAATCAGAGCGAATTTAACGAGTGTTCTTGGTGGAATTGTATATCATCGCTGCTCAGCTGGTGCGGGGAAAGGATGCTATGCCGAGCTAATGAAGAGGGACATTAGACATGCAGGTATGCACGCAGGTGTGACAGCGGCATCACCTGCACCGCGGAGGTTGCGAAATCCACAAGATAAAGTCGTGTTTGAACATAAAAGATCTCTGGATTTCGTTCGGCTTTGAAGAGGCAATAAAAAGAATAGAAAGAAGTGGGGGAGTGACGGTTAAGAAAATGAGCAGAAGAAGGGAAAGCATGGTAGGAATGTATGGCAAGAGAACAGTGTGTGGCTGAGTGAACAACTGTGTGTTTGCAAGAGAGGTGCTTAAGTTGCTGCTGTGTTTTAGCAGGCTATAATCGCAGCTGGCTATCATTTAATGAAGTGAGCTGTGCTGGAAAGGGAGGAAAAAAGAAAAAAAAAACCTCAGGCTGGGACAGCACAAGAGAAAGAGATGGAAGCAAAGGAGGAGGAGGAAGCCCCATCTGGATTTTCAACCATGGGACCTGATGACGCTTAGGTCTACCCGCTTTGCATCTGCTTGAACACACACACCTCAAGCTTTTCCTCAAATCAACTTTCACTCCCGCAAACACGCCACCGCGTCAAATACCGCGGCGCGACGCACAAGACGCTCTCAGTGCATTCGCGTGCACACCAACAAGAAGGGGGGGGGGAAACTCTGTCGCGAACAGTACTACACAAGCAGCTGCATAACAGGAGCCACTTTGAGCACGCAGGATTATCCGAATGTGCTCAACCCTGATAAGTGGCTTAATGCAACATTTCCATTCGACTTTTTTTTTTCTGCTGAGGCTGAGACCCAGGCGCACAAGAAGCACTACTTATAAAGTTAGCCAAATCAAGCTTTTTGGGATTATGTCACCATGCGAGCGCTGCCGTTTCAATGGGGGTGGGGGGATGTATATGAGAAAGACGGGAGACAGACAGACAGATGTGGAGTGACAGAAGAGAAAGGAGAGAAAGGAAAATGCCGCGGTGCGTTTTTAGCCAAACGGATAGCTCAGAAGAAGTTTTTTTTTGGATGTAAGGTAGCGTGCGTTACTCAGAGATAGTCAAACATGTCTGCTGAGTGCCAAAAACCATGTGTCATGTATGGTGTTTTAAATGAACAATCGAGGATGTTGCGAAATGTAAAATAAGATGCAGGGCTTAGCATCAAGAAACTGATCAAAAATGATAACGATATAGATATAGATCGATGCCAGGCCCGCTGTGAACTCGTCTTTCAAAAACCAGAACAGGTATTGCACCAATTCCTTTCTGCCTCAGAGAGCTATCAAATATAGACTCCGCTTGGCCAAAAAAAGAGAGAGGGGAAAAAAGGCAGTCTTTTGAATATGGATATTAGATATGCTTTATAAAAGATCAAAAGCACCGTGCTCTCCTTATAGAGATGAGAAATAGGGGGTTTAATAGAAAAAAAAGCATT